CAGGTCATTTTGAAGTTCTAAGCTATCACTCTTACATCGTATCGTTTTCCATATCTTGACATCGTCAGCATATAGCAAGACCGATGATGATAGGAGACAAGGAAGGTCATTTACATACAAGAGGAATAGCACTGGCCCCAAAACTGTACCCTGGGGCACTCCACTAAGCACAGTTTCCCAGCTAGATAACTTTGAGTTCACCCTTACTCTTTGTTGACGCCCAACTAAGAAGTCTTTTATCCACATCAATAAATTGCCTCCAATCCCGACTTTTCTTAACTTATATAACAGCCGGTTGTGCGGAACTTTATCAAAAGCTTTACTGAAATCAATGAAGGCGACGTCTACAGGTAGCTTTTGGTCCTTAAGAGCGCACCAGCTTTCACGAGCCACTAATAAGTTAGTGAGACAAGAATAACCTATTCTGAAGCCGTGCTGCTTCTCCGAGAGGATCCGGTTTTTATCGAGATACTTAAACAGCTCCTTCCGAATAATCTTTTCTAATATTTTAACAACCACACTAGTTAGGCTAACGGGGCGGTAGTTCTCAGGTTTGTGTTTCGTGCCTGTTTTGAAGACAGGACTTACTATGGCGTTTTTCCAATCTTTCGGTAAGCGACCCTGCGTAACGGATAGGTTAAAGCATGTACTTAAAGGGCTTGCAACGAAGTTAGATAATTCCTTCAGTAGCCTAGGATGTAATTCATCGGGCCCCGTGGATTTACCTATGTCAAGCTTATTTAGCAGACCAAAGACATCGAGTTCTTTAATGGTCACGCTATCCAGTGTATGTATGGGGGGATCTGTATACGCTGACGAGAAGGGCGCTTCTATGGTATACACGTTGCTAAAGTAGTTCGAGAACGCTTGAGCCTTACCAAAGTCGTCCTCCACTAATGATGAAGCAGTACTGTCTCCCCATAGAGCAGGAATATTTCCTTTTCTCCTTGTCCTTTGGTTTATATAGGAATACAAGCGTTTAGGACATTCTATGGATTCCTTAACAAGTTTTTCTTCGTACAATTTTCTAGACTTACGGAGGGTCGAGGCACAAGTGTTCCGAGCCTTTCGATACTGAGATTTTGACTCATCAGTCCCCAGTAACCTAAATCTATCCCACATTTTCCTTTTCTTACGGAGAAGGATACGGACCTCCCTACTGAACCATGGTGGTGAGTTTTTCGGCCCCTTTGGTATAGTCCAAGGGATGTGAGGTGTGGTAACTTTTAAGTATGAATTTCGAAATGCATCCCAGGCCGTTTCAATGGAGGACTCTGGGTCTATTGTCCAATCTATTAACGATGCTGAGTGCATGATGTCTGGTATGTTTGCTTTCCAGACGTTGGGTCTGGACTGGACTGACGCGTCCTCATGACTGGCAGTTATATGGAAGTCGAAAGTTAAAACTGCGTGGTCACTTTTACCTAAGGGTGGCATATGATGGAGGTTCACAACATCATCCTCATAGTGAGTCAGTATAAGATCTAATAAGGATGATTCAGTGTCCGGATCGTACCTTGTCGCTTCTTTCACATGTTGCACTAGAGCACATGTGATAACCGCATCAACTAGTTCCTGCTCGAAAGAATTCTCCGACGATTTAGTTCGCAGATTTTCCCAGTCTACCATAGGTGCATTAAAGTCCCCTAGGATTAGACATCGACCACTTTGGGACCAAGTATTGAGACTGCTTAACAGGATCTCATTTGCCTCACAGCTTGGACTGCGATAGACCAAACCAATCAGCAGCTCTTGTCCCTTGCATTTTAAGCGAAGACTAACTAATTCACACGTCCCACTCTCATGGGATACACTATCGATAATGGTAAATGGGATAGCATTCCTAATGAATAGAGCTACTCCCCCTCCTTTGCGCTTTTGTGTTCTGTCGGCCCTTACTAACGTAAAGCCCTCGAAATCAAGTTCTATACTATCTATAGCCTGTGTCAGCCAGGTTTCTGTTACTGCGATTATATCTGGCTTTGTAGAGTCAATCTGTACACCTAGTTCCGATCGCTTATTAAGTAAGCTTCGTGCATTGGTGTAACAGATCCGAAGCCTCTTTAAGTGCCTTCGTGCTTCACCCAGAGTGGCTTCGGCATCATTCTCTGTCGAAGTCTTACAACCCGAAAATTTACAATTTTCAGGTCCTTTTCGCCAGCGTCTAACCTATGTTGTAGTTCTTTCTCGGCTTCCCGTCTTTTAACACGGTCTGCCAACGGTAGGTCCTTTCGGATAAAGACTCCTGAACCCTTTAATTTGTGTCCATTTTGTAAAATTAGGTCACGTTCGTTCGAAGAGCCGAATACTACTTTAAGCAGTCTGGAATGATTTGGTTTCGAGTCCGTTAGACTCCCTAGTCTGTACACCTTTAGCAAGGTGACCCCGGTCATATTTTGAGGCATGAGTTGATTAAGCAGCTGCCTAATCAGTACAATGTCATGCTCAAAACGAGCTTTAGGTTCAGAGCTATCGCTCTCCTTGATTCTATGAAAAATAGCTGATCTGTCGCTATGATCAGCTTTCGATTTTTCAACCACTCTTACGGGGGCAGGTTTCTCTTTTATATCCCTACTTTTCTTCCTTACAACCTTTACCCATTCGTCAACGGTGCTGGTAGAAGCAATAACAGTTGCGTCAAACCTAGTGTTGGGTTTTGGGGGGTTGTCGACGACCTGAGAGGTCGTGTTATGTTTACCGTTTGAAACCGATCGAGCCTTGCGATTGCGGCTTCTAGGTGTTTCCTGTTGGATCCCATCTGGAAGACGGGGAACAGAAGACCCTACTTTTCTTGAGCTTTTGTTTAAGGCAGGCCTCTTTGGAGACTGCTTTTCCTTCTTTGACGGGCGTGAGTCATCTATCACCGGACTAACCTTAGTTTCCTTCACGTTGATTTGCGTGTCGACAGATCGAGTGCTGTTTGACGCGTTCCGACTATGCTTGCTAAAACACTTCTTTGCAGCATCAACCAGTGAGATGGCCTCGGTTAACAAGCTGTTTGCATCCGAGCAGCACTGTTGACAAAGCCACACACAACCCTTCTTACTGAACCGTTTGAAAGCAGCAGGCGTTAAGTTCGTGCAAACTTCGTGGTACCAGCCTTTGCACTCGTCGCACTGCATGCCGCTTTCAACAGGATAACGACAACCCTATGCATTATGAATTCAGAACCTCTGAACCTTTATCAAACCTTAACAAGTTTTTAAATCATGTAAAAGAAGAATATCCACTGTAATTCATGACTTACTTATAATATATTTTCACTTTATAGTAAGTGCCTTCTGATTTGCTAATAATTGTCAAGGTCATTTAAGA